TGCAGAAGTAAAACCATACTCAAGCGATTGCACTGTCCCTTCCAGAAAGACAATTTGTGGTCAGTATTTTCCAGGTCTGGTAATTCATTAAATTGAAAACTGAGTTTCTACATAAGAGACATGACACTACAGTACATAACCACTTACATAGTTTAAACATGACTATAACTCACAAAATGACTTGTCTAGCCAACTCTTCCCTCCCCCCATATTTTAGCTTTTTCCTTCAAAGGCTGAATGTATCTAATAATAAAGTCAAGAAAAAATATTAGGATGAATTTAGACAGAAAGTAACATCACTATGAATTTCACTGTCTTGAGGAACTCAAAGATACAAGAAAATTTCAAGCCCTATTTGTGACATCCATACCACTATCAATGGGAAAAAACAGTGAACCATTCAATGCTTTACAGAACATAGATGATAAAATTTATGTCTAATTTATTAAACCACTTATTAAGCTAAATTAAGACTCATGGATCTAATGTAATTTTCCAAACTACTCAAACTGAGAAGAAATATCAGGGGATACCCATTTAAAAACAGCAGGTAGGAACTCTTTCAGCTGACAGACAGCTGGCTGCACCACTGGTGGCTACGCCCTTTCTTCTTGAATTCTTGAAGAAAAGTTATTAAAAAATACTCTCACTTGCCTTTAAGGTCAAAGGTCAGAAGGAGTCACATTTTTCTTGCTGTCAGAGATTGGCTTTTGCAGGCAGGACAAGGGAAAAAGTAAACCATATTTTTAAAAGACTATGTTCCAACTGTAGCACAGAGTATTGTGTCCTTGTGACATTGGCCGCTGGTGCTGCCAACATAGTGTGGTTGACTTCAACCTACAAACACAACAGACTATACCAGCAAAAACAGGCTGTCTCCTCTGGACACTCAGCAACAGGCCAAGTGACTGTTCTATCCATCAGATGTTTCGATGAGCAAATGCATGATTCCAAATTAAAGAGCTGAATTTTACCGTGGAGGCTCATAAACAGCAATTCAGGAACATAATCTTATTAACTCAGCAAACCACTCCAGTGCTCCATGGATCTATAGTACAGTGAAAGTCTGTGTATAGATGTGGTTGTTTGGTTTTGTTTTTTAATGAAAATATAACATAACTTATACTCACTCTGGTGTCACTATGGCCCTACAAAGGAATTTCTCATGGGGAAAGCCAGATTATACATACAGATACAGAACCTAAAAGAGGTGGGGGTAAATTCAAAGTGCCCTGAAAACTCTTTGGTTTCTGTGATTCTGTCTAAATTTGTGTGCCATGACCAGTCAGAACCAGCAGAGAGAGGGCTCTGCTCCAGGAAAAAGGCAAGGCAAGGCAAGGCTGGCAAGGTGCCATACAATCTGATAGAGCTCGTGGTCTGCCATGCATATGGGCTGATTTTACCAACACATTTTTGCTCACTTTCACATGCCTAAAAGTACGTCCTGACTGCAGAGAGGCAGCCCTGCCTCGGGTGTCATCACTTGCACAGAGCATGAAAATTTGCAGAAGTGGTGTCAGCAGCTTGGAAAACTCCCGGGAGTGGCAGTGGAGCAATCCTTTAAGGAACGCTATGTTGCCAAGGTTTTGATGGAGTAGAATGTGATACTGTGTGAGAAAACAAGACACCAAGACTGAGCGTCTAAAAGTGCATCAAATGAGTGAAGCCCAATGCCCTGAACAAGGCTTTAGCCCTTGAATCTCACTACTGCAACAACTGGCAGGAGGCAGCCGGGAGTCTGTCATGTGAGCTCTAAGATGCATAGCAGCATCCCAGGTGCCATCTACTAGATAAGTTTTGACAAGAATGACAACAGCCAAAAACATCTCTAAACATTGTCAAATGTCCCCTGGAGACCAAAATTTCCAGAGTTAAGAACCACACCTTAACCAATTTATTTCACTTATGAGTACAAACAGCCATTTTTCCTCAGATACACCTGAAATCCATGGCATCTTCAATCCAGTGAGAGGCCACCACCCACCATCCACTCCCCTTGTTGCAGAGCCCTCATTCGGAACTCCTGATGAGCAATTAATGGATTCCTTCCTTAGCCACCAGCCAATAGGCCTTCAAGTCTTCCTTTCTGAACTATCAAACACAGGCTTCCTGAGTTCGCCAGAGTAAAGGTTAGCACTTTCAGTCCAAAGAAATCTCCCTGAGACAAGGTCCTGACTTACGCTGTTTGGATAGAAGACATTTCGGGATACCTCTCTGTTACAACGTTCACAAACTATATTACATTTTTCCTGCTTCTCCTTAGCACTCTGCAGCTGCCACAGCAGGAATGCAAGCTGGGATCCCTGTGCTTGCCTCTGGTTTTGAATGAACATTAAAAATCCCCAAGGAAAAGGCTATAGTTACAAAAGAGCAAAAAAGGTTGACCGTTTTTTACCTCACAGAAATAGAAATACTTGAGAAGAGAGCAGGGTACACCATGACTGAACATTACACAGTGGGCATGTCCATGGAAATATTAATTACAAGGCAACCCAACAGAACGTTCGCTGCTTGGTATCCATTAAAAACAAGTATGGGGAGTTATAGTAATAATTCTACAAAGAGAAACATCACAATGGAAATTAATTCCGAAGTCCTCCTCAAATGGGTGTATTTGAAATTGACTGTATGTGTGCCTAGGTTCAGATCTCACACGATGGAGAATTGGTGGACAGCTCTGTGTGCGTGTGAGGGAAAAGAAAATGGCTGGTCAGCAGGACTTGCGCAGGTACAATACAATGGCATAGAAAACCATTCTGAAGAAATCTCACAAGCCTTTATTCAAATTTAGGCAACAGATAACAATGAAGTGCCCTGTCACTCCAAGACACTGATTTTAAAAGACAAAACTAAAACTTTCTTAATTTCTTAATGCTTGTGCTAAAGTTTCTTCTCTGGTGAAGAAGAAAAAAAAAAAAGGGAAGGAGGAGGGGAAAAAAAAAAGACTATTGATTCTTCCCCAAGTATCATAAAGGAGAACAGGAGAGCACACACTTTTTGCCAAGATTTGACAGCTGGGGGTTATCATGAAGAAGGCTTCAAACAAAACATTTTTTTAAAGAAAAAACTAATATAACAGCTGACCACCCTCTTCTCTCTGCAGAGGTGACAGAAAATAAACCCTTTATCAATAATCATTTGTCCAGGTTATAGCTAGGTGTCAACCCCATTCCACATGAGATATGGAAGGGGCCCTCACCAGCACCTTTTACTCCTCTCATCTGCCCTTTCCCTTCACGGGCCAGAGCAAAGCACAGGGAGTCAAGTAGCCAAGGGAAACGCACACATACAATGGCAGTAAACGACGCAAACAAAGAGTCTGCACCATATGGGAATGCAGGAAGACAAAAGAACTCCTGAAATACAGTTACCACGGTACACATGAATTTGGCACCCAAATAATCCGTATGAAAATAAAATTGAATTAAAGAAAATACAATTGCAAGCAAGATATAAGAAATGATACCATCATGTGCTGCTTTTATTTACCCTGTAATGAAACTGATATGAATTTTTTTAATACTTCAACTTCACTATCTGATTATATACTCCACCACCCTAACCTATTAAATAATTATAAAGTGCTTCATAAGGAAACCACTATAGACCCTTCTGGCAGGGATAATTATATCTCCGTTTTTTTAAGCCATAACACTATTTCCTCAAAAAATGGTGGACTTAATAAACAGCCTATACTCTTTCCCAAATTTTGTAAAGATACATTGCAAGTTCAAACTCACCAGCTGGGGAATGAAGGGCTTGAGAAATTAAGTCATGGTCCTACGGCCAATGAGGACTCTATTACAATCCAAAGCTTATTGGCTTTATCAAATGAATTACAAATAGATTCTAAGCTCCTACCCCATGTAGACATGTGTCTGCTGCTCACTGTGAAAAAATAACACATAACCACGATGCTCTATACTCTGTGCAACTTTCAGAACCTACACAGATGGGAAGCGTGTGACTCTTTCCTTGGGTTAAAATGTATTTGTGCATTTCTATGAATACGAATGTTCTTTAGAGCTTTAAAAAGTAGAGCCTTTTCAAAATAAATGTGTGTGTATGTGCTGTCAGTGCTGGTTTGCATACTATTTCTCTCACCTGCTCCCCCAAGTTCATGACTCTTGCAAATTATTTGGAAAAGCAAACATGGATCAACATGACTGTCCAGTGTTCCACTGAAGGCCTGAACTGTGGTTCACACATCACTTCCCCCAGGATGGCCTTGGACTGCTTCAATTATTTCAATGAGCATTCTTTTAGCTACTATTCATGATAGGGTTAATAATGGCAACAATAAAGTGAGAGTATCTACATATAAAAATATAATAAGATATGAAAAGTGGCTATTTCTATGAGAATTACAAAGGACTTTCATTTTCAGCTATGCAAATTTTCATGACATCTCAATTTTTTAAGTGGGTATAGCACTAATTAGTGCTATTTGTTAATCCAAGCATACAAGACATATGATATTCACAATTACCTATAATAGTCTCCACTTTAACATACAGTAACAGGCGATTCAATTTTCAATCTTAAACACATTCTTTTAGAGATTTAGGTGTTCTTAGGGAATCCTCAGAAAATACTTTGCATTTATTGAGAAAACAAAGCTCATAACAATAACATGAAAAATGTAGGGTTCTACCAAGCACAACCCCAAAGCAAAACAGTCAAGTTCCTATGTTCAGCACATTTTGGAGTTTTACAACACAAAAGTACAGTACTGTTGTTGTTTGGTTTGGTTTTTTACAATCAGCAGTTACGAGCATTTGTTGTTCTTGCATAGGACCCACATGGTGACTCACAATTGTCTACTTTCAGTCCCAGGGGATCCAATGCCCTGTTTTGACCTCCACAGACACCAGGAACACAGGCAATGCATAGACGTACATGCAAGCAAAGTACTCATACGCAAAAAACAAAATAAATATATCTGTTAAAATAGCTATGGATCACAAGTCCAGGCAAGTCTGTGGTTCCACGCAACTCACCGTCTCTGGTTTTCTGATTCCTTCTTGGCTTGCTCCAATGCCAGCTCCTCAGCTACTCTTCTTTTCAATTCTTCATCAGAAACTACAATCAGCAAAGACAAAAGGAGATGAAACAAGTGGCTTGCTAAAACCAAAAACAAGAAAAGATGAGTAAGATGGATCTGAACAGACAAAATTGTGCCAGGTGGTCAGTGTCTCCTTGGAACTCCCTGAGTATGGTGGAAAAGGCCAATTAGTGCACTTCAGGAGTAATTTAATCAAGAGTCCCCTGGTGACCTAGAAATTTCCACACCTGCCAAAATTTATAAAAATACAAGGAGCTGCTTAGTGCCCAGTAGGGACTAAGCCATTAAGTGCAAGGTCGTTAAAATGATGTTCTAAGGTTAAAGTCTGACAGTGCCCGTGAAGGGAGGTCAGACTGTCAAGGACTTTAGGCAGGAAAGTGATGCCAAAAGCATCTCGATTCAATAATAATTACACAAATATTTATTATGGAGCATGGAATACTTATATTCGTTTCTCCATAATTTATGAAAAAGACATGTATAACTTATGAGAATTTAGAAAGTGTATTTTCTGGGATATATGCCACTCAAACTCAAGTGCCAACAACCGGAGAGGCAGAGAAGAGCACTGAGCACACAGCTGTAGCTTCCTAAATACCTGACACTTGACTGGCAACATCTGGCCTTTCCAATTAAAAGACTATACAATATGTCTTGTAAAGATTCTTACAGCTGTACCAGTAAATAACGGACAATTTTACAGACTACTTTGAGTTTTCCATAAGAAATAGGCAAAAGCCATCTCTTCTTGATAAGAAAGCTACTCACTAAAACTATGAGTGAAAAGCACCAGAACCGCTGGGAGAGAATAGGAAAACACAGAGAAGCTAGTGTTATTCCTAATGGATCCACCTCTTAGATGGTAGACCAGACAGTCTGTGTCTGCCTGCTACTTGTACACATTTTTTTGGTGACCCAAACATGAAACAGATACACCTTGTCTCAGGGAATATGCAAAAATTTACTTACAATGTGGTACAAAAACTTTTTTTAAATATGTAACTGACACTAAGGAATAACAGTGATTGTATATCAAGGGTTTGAAGGCTGTTTTTCCTCAGTTACAGAGCGTAAGAAAGCAATGGCAGCACAAGGAACATCATCAAGCAGTGAAAACTGGAGTCGCAGGATGGGGGGGGGAGATAACCAATCAGAGATAACAAGGGACTTGTACCCAGAGAATATGATAGACAAAGAACTCATAGTCAAATGAGAAAACACCAAGAAAAATCAACAAAGAATATAAAAAGGCATTGCTTCAAAGAAGATAAGCAAAGCCAAAAGCATACAGAACTCTGTTCAACATCGGTCACTGGGAATATGCAAGTTGAAACCACAATGGTGCACACACTCTCTACAATCAAAAAGGCAAAGAGTTAAAAATGGTGGAGAAACCCAGCGCATCATGCATTACGGTGGGGGAGAAAATGGCGTCACTAGGAGTGTAAATGGCACCACTCCCTAGATACGCAAGTTAGTAGTTTCCCTAAGTCCTAAATCAGATCCAAGAGGTGAACCCTCAGGTACTGTGTAAGCTCGAGGGAACCGAAAATACCAATCCATATGAAAATTTCTTTATGAAAATGTAGGGCTATTTTAATATCCCAAAGTAGAGATGATCTAAGAGCATATCAGTTAATAAATAGGTAGCCAAAATATGGCATATCCATTCATGTAACTGTATAAAAAGGAATGACATCAGACACATGATACAACAAAGATGTGTGAAATAACTCAGAAACAAAAGGTATATATTGTTATATATCTTATGTTCTGCACATAAGTATGCCAGGAAGCTGGCTAGTGGCTGTCTGGATAGGAGAAAGGGAGGAAAGAGAAAAGGCAACTCGTGAGCACCCGTTACCTTCTACTGTTGTTGGTGGTGATGGCATGCGTGAATGTGTGCACACATGCCCTTGTGGTTAATCTGTCCATCTGACTGGTATAACTTGTTTGTATGTTTAGGGTGGCGAGGACTTGGTGTGTACTGGTTCCTTTTGGGTTTTTCAAAACAGATCATGTCTAAAGCTGGCCTCAAATTCACAATCCTGCTCCCTCAGCTCCTCAAGAACCAGTTATGTCACCTCAAAAACCTAGGATTACTCCCTGAAATAGTGAAAACGTTCTAAATTAGACTGCTTGATGGTTGCACATAAACCTACAAATAAGCCGGGCAGTGGTGGCACACGCCTTTAATCCCAGCACTGGGAGGCAGAGGCAGGCGGATCTCTGTGAGTTCAAGGCCGGGCTGGACCGACAGCCTCCAAAACAATACAGAGAAACCCTGTCTCGTAAAAAAAAAAAAAAAAAAAAAAAAAAACCCACAAATAAGCTAAAAACCTGACCCGTTCACTTTAAATGATAAACCTATCTCAATGAGGAGAAAGGAGAATATAAAACATGGGACAAGGGCAGGGAGCAGCAGCAGCCTGTGTGGTCCCTACATGCTGGGAGCGGGAAAGCTCTGCACTACTCTGCTCATTTCTTGTGAAATGCTCTCTAGGGGTCTTTCCCAACTCTGCTATTTCTCCCCGCCTTCAGAGAGATACCATGAAAAAGACGGCCTCAACTTTGAAAAGGTCACACACAAACCAAAGAAGCCCGTTAAGACAGAATTACCTTGAATTCAGGTAAATCTTCACGTTTTAGGGTGTTTTTTTTTCCTTGTTGAAGGGTTTTTAAATAATAAAAATAACAACAGAGTCTGATTAAGTCTGTTTTCTAAAAGCCAGACTTTGGATAAGAAGATAATTAATCTCTCTGGCTTTTGGTTTCCTCATCCAAACACAAGCCTTGTGGATGAACCTGACAGCCCTCAAGTTCTGAACTGTGTTCCATACGGGGTGAGCAACATGGCCAACTTATTTCAAAAGCAAAACAACATGAGAGAAACTCCTCTCGGTTTGATTTAGTGCCACCACAAGCACATCTAATAAGTACTACCTGAACTAATAGAATCCTGAAGTCTGGCAGACCAGGGTGACCAACACCACACTGTCAATCTAAAGATGCAAAGTCAAAAACACAGTAGACACTGTTCTCAGAGAGGATACTTTAAGATTCTCCACCAAAACTCAACTAATCAATTAAAAGTAGGCCTCTGGAAGACCTTAGTATGCCAAGCTGAGTCACGAGATTAGTTTCCAACATGAGCTGAGAAAAGTCTCACATGTTTATGGTTTACTGGGTTATTTTTCCAACTTTACTGAGGTATAATTGATTTTTTAAAAAAGTATATATTCAATGTGATCATCTTATAGTCATATAAATTATGTAATGACTGCTACAATCAAATTAACACATCGGCCACCACACACAGTTTATTGTGTGTGTACATGTGATGTAAAGTCTGGCCTCATCAAATCTCACATACAAAATAAAGTCTCCTTGCCGTGTAGTCTGTCTGCCCAGAGCTTCCTCATCCAGAGCAACCTATTTCCAGTATCTCCCAACCCCAGCCCTCCAGAACTTCCGCTCTCCGCTTCTGTGATTCCAGAGTTACGAAAGTGAGAAGCTTGCAGGCCCTGTCTTTCTGCATCTGCCTCCTTTCACTCAGCGCAAAGACGTATCCTCGTAGGTCTTGTCTGTGACATTGGGGCTCCCTTCCAGAGAAAAGGTCAAAGTGAGCAGCGGTGTGTGACTGGGGCAATGATGAAGCGGTCACCCAATTGGGGACCAGGTGGGTGATGGCAACAGGCCATGCAGCTGACTGTGCAGGCAGACACAGCGCTGTGGGAGAGGAAAAGGCACTGGAGGACTGCTGTGTCTGTCCCAGCCTCTCTGACTGCCCACTCAGCTCAAAACACCCCCACACCCCTACCCCCGCCTGCTGTAAGGCAAGAAGGAGCAAATGGATTAAAGGTGGCATAGTCAAGACACGGACACGGACACACACAAGGGCGCGAAAATTCCAGCAACAAAAGGGGCAAGAAAGCTCTAGAAGACATGTCTAAGATAAGCTGGGTGACATCACTTCTGGTCAGTAAAGGGAACAAAACACAGCTATGTAGTGCCCTAGCTATTTCCAAGAAATAGGGCAGGAAAAAATTATGACTATTGGTCTCAAGGTCACAACTGGAAAAGTAATTACCTAAGCTAGCATCCAGATTTCAAAATGACAAAAGATAACTCATGGCCTAGCATAAAGAATTTAGAATCTACAATAGCGGATCAAAGCACAGGCAGAAAATAAGCTAGTGTAGTTACGGCTCCTGAGCAAACCTAAACTTCTTGTTATTTGTTTTTAAATCAATAGAATACGGAAAGCAACAATGTATTTCTTCTGATAGGTCAAATCCAAAGTGCCCAGGAGAAAAAGATACAGAACTCAGAACCTGCTATTTAAAATGGCCTGTCTGGAAACTTCTCCAACTCTCCAGATCTGAACATTTTCTCAGTTACAACTGTTATTAAACTAAAAGGTCAGGTTTTCTGTTAGAAGCAGAGGAAAGGCAACTTCGCCCATTAGTGCTGGGAGTTCCCAAGCAAACCTATAGGAATCCATAAGTTTTGAAAAATGAGAACAGCTCACACCATCTTAAGGAGACTTGCCACAGAAGTCTGCACATGCTGCTTCAAGTTCATGGAGTATGGCTGGCCCTGTGGCTTTGACACACATTCGCATTCTCTTTAGAATGTGTTAAGGCTTGGGATGTTTTCTTCAAAAACATGTACCTTACACCTTGGTAACGTCTCAGAAATCACTGGAAGTTCTCAATAGTGAATACGTTTTAATGAACACTAACATGTTCTGTAAAACGGTTACAGAAAATAGGACACTAGCTTAAAATATGAGAAAAAGGTTACATCGAGTGTGACCTTAAACCTCTTACTCAAAAATAATTCTCAATTAAAAACAGATCATGATTCCTAACAAATTATTATTTGCTTGTTTTAACTAAACAGAAGTTTTGGATAGTTTAAACTAATGGAATGCATTTATTCTCTTCTCAACTAAATTTCTAAGCTATAAATGCGTGTTTAGGATCAAGGAAAGAAACTCCTTATTGTACTCAAT